GAGCCCACTTTGAGGTGGGACATCCGCATGGTGTCGTCTCCTGTGGGAGCAGAGGAAAGTTATGTTCCCCCCCTCTTGAAGGCTGCCCTGATGGCCCCCCCCCCGAGGCGTGTCCCAGGACTCACCCGTAATCTTGGCAGTGAAGGGACTCCCCGGGATGTGTTTGTCATTGTATTTCACCAGGATGTTATAGTCACCGGGCAGAACTGGAAGGTAGGACACGGTACAGGTGCCGTCCTGGTTATCGGTGCAGCCGATCTCAGCTTTGGAGGGACCTTCGATGGCCAGAGACAGACCACCTACCCAGACAAGGGAGAGAAGCCGGAAAGCGAGAGGTCCATTAGTCCCAACACCCTCCGCAAGCGAAGAAGAACCAGGAAAACGAAGTTGCAGGAAAACAACAGCTAGATAACTGAAAAGTTATCGAGCTAAAATGCAAAATATCTTAGAGCTTGTTCCTAGGTTAATGAATCTATTAACAGCTCTTTATGTCACCAAAATCCTTATCGTATACCTCACCACAGCTGAGTCCAGGTTGTTGGAAAAAAATGCAGGTCAATTGGAACTTATGTCCACCGTTCGTTGACCTGTCTAGTATTGATACCTTTTTGACAAGCAAGTTTGGAGATGGTTACATGACACTAGAATTGACTCCGGAATGCCTCCTATTAGGAGCAAATTGGAATAAAGATTGACCTCAATGGATAACTAATGTTATTGCGATCCTTTTATCGGCCGCTAAACTCGCCATAGCTTCTCGTTTGAAAATCTCAACTGCCCCGACTCTATACATACGGCATACACGACCAGGGCTATTTTGGGGCAGGAACGCACAGGAACGGAGTTCCGGCTGGCTCCTGAGTTGGCCACACCCAGCAGGAACTCATTAGCATAATAGGCCACACCCAACAGCAGAAACTCATTAGGATTAGCTACAGTCCGCGTGTGTGGCCTAACATGCAAAGGAGTCCCTGCTACAAAAAAAGGCCCTGGGGTTTTGACAACACACAAGGTAAACAGAATAAGAAGCAAAAGGTGGGCGTGGCTGGAGGACCACACTTTTGGCAACACAGGGCTGCGGCCTAATATGCTAATGAGCTGTGGTGGTGGGGTGTGGCCTAATATGCTAATAGGTTTCAACTGTTGTGGGTGTGGCCTGTTATGCTAATGAGTTCCTGCTGGGCTTTTTCTACAAAAAAAGCCCTGTACACGACGATGGAATCACTGTGTTTTAGCTAGGCTTACTTTTAATTTGGATCGGACGATATCAACTGGAGCACTCTTAAGAGTTTAAGAAAATCTGGTCACCCCTCTTAACTTGTCTTTCTAATCAGAAGGAAATTCAAAAGGAACTATCTCATCATGCTGTCGAAGGCTTTGACGAGGGCTTTATATCATTGTTTATGTTTAACACATGTTGATATATATTTTATAGTCAATGGGCAGTGTTCCCTCTAAGCTGAGTTAGTGTGAGCCAGCTCAGAGTCCTTTAGCCTCCAGCTCACGCATTTTTACCTTAGCTCAGGAAAGAGGGCTCCAGAGCAAACTAATTGATGCAGCAGCCAAATCGCTCACTCACAACTTTAATGCCGGTAGCTCACAAAGGAGAATTCTTGCTCACAAGACTCCACAGCTTAGAGGAAGCATTGTCAATGAGTATACTTTTAAATTATATTTACTATTCTTATGTCCTTAAATAAAAAAACAAACAAACCCAAAATAAAAAAGGTGTATAACATAAAAAGTGAGCACAAAATACCTCTTTATACTAATACATGGCTTCTCTCATGTCCTTATGTTATGTTCTCTTATGTTCTTATGTCAGGGATGTGCTCTTAAACTCACCTTCACCCGCATCAGAGCGGCTGACAAACTCCTTTCCCTTCCCCTCCCCACAACAGACACCCTGTGAGGTAGGCTGGGCTGAGAGAGCTCTTTCCAGAACTGGCCTTGAGAGAACAGTTCTGAGAGAACTTGTGACAGACTGACCCAAAGTCACACCAGCAGCTGGGGAGGAGCGGGGGAATCAAGCCCGGTTCTCCCAAATTAGCATCCACACACTTAACCACTACTCAAAACTGGCTCTCAATGGATGATGGGATATAAAAAGACTTCTCTGCCAGATACCCTGAGGAGCCGCTGCCAAGCTGAATAGACAATACTGAACCTGATAGACCAAGAGTCTGATTCAGTAGAAGGCAGATTCACGTGTTCGTGTGATCTCCTTGAGGAGAGGGGCCATGGCTCAGCAGCAGAGAATCTGCGTGGCATGCGGAAGGTCCCAAATTCAATCCCCGCCATCTCCAGTTGAAAGGACCAGGTAGGAGGGGATGAGAAAGACCTTAACCCAAGACCCTGGCGCAGTGGCAGAGCCTCTGCTTGGCATGCAGAAGGTCCCAGGTTCAATCCCCAGCATCTGCAGTTAAAAGGACCGGGCAAAAACTGGCATCATCGAAGAATTCCAAGCATTTCCCGCACCCTGTCCTCCATCAAATTTTGATAGCCTTCCGTCATGACTTGTTCCCCAAAAAACGTTACCTGGGATGTGCATGTTGTCGTAACGGATGTCCATCTCGTGCAGGCCGGCCTCCGTGGGGGCGTACCG